ATACAAAGGAACTTTAGTAAGCCATCTGTTTCCTTGGCTTACCTGCTGGCTTGTTTCCTTTCCAATATTTTGTGGGGATTTGAAAATATTTTGCAGCACAGTTGGGTCAAGCCTGGTAGCTCCAGAGATACAAAGTGTTACAGACTGTGATGGGAGCACTATCACTCCAGCCATCAATCTGTGTTTGTGACAGCTGGCTGGAACCCACTTTTCCACATGAGAATTTTAGACACAGTTAATAATCATGATGGTTTGTAGCTATGTTATCATTTGTATCCCAGTTTGGATGAATGTTTTGTGCTGTGCTGCAGTTAATCTTTACTAAATAGTGTCTCTGGTTTCTTCAGATTGTCACATGTGATTTAAACACTGTGCAGGAACATGTCCTAAAGGCTTAACACACTTGCTGAAGTCAGAGATCAGTCTTAGAATTAAAATACTGAAGACAAAAATAAAATTTTCAAGGTGGAAGAATTATTTCAGGTAATAACTGAATAGTTGCCATTAACAAAGTGTATCTTTGTAAGAGCTGATAAGAAGTGTGGCTTTACCTCCTCCTCTCACTTCTCCACCCCCAAAAGAAAACAAGTTAATTCCTTCTAGATAATGCTCACCATTGCAAAGAGAAGAGACAATTTGTTGTTTCTGTGCTGTAAAGATTGCAGCTCAAGGAGAGATTGTAGCTCAGGGAGAGGTCAGAAATGTTATGTAATTAGGCAAAATACCAGTTGTAGCATTCTGTGCTTCAGAACAATGTTTCTTTCCCTCATTTTTTCCCACCAAATTGTTAGCTGTATTGCAGCAGGAGAAATTGCAGTGCAAGCAGCAGTTCATGTTCTAGGCAGCTGAGGGTTCCTGGATAGAAGTCAACTGGTAATTTTTCTGGGAAACTGACTTGGGGAATTTTGGGCTGTCCAGAGGCACGGTTTCATGCAGCCTTTGTTGCCAGAAACACATAACCAAACTGCCTGCATGTCAATGCTTGTACAGACTCCTGTGTTGGTGCTGTGCTGTCCTCTCAAAGATGAGATATCACTTGTGGCATCAGGATTTTGGCTTGTTTGACACAGATGTCAGAACATCTTTTGGCCAGTCTCATGGAGGAAAATTCTTGGTCCTAAAGTCTCTCTCAAGCTTGTTGTCAACACTCACCGTCATGGCTGTGGGACCTCTGGTTTATTTGTTTCAAGCAGTGCTTATTATCTCAGAGCATTCTTCTGGAATAGCAAAAGAATAACTTCCATGAGGGTTAGTCCCACAAAAAAAAAACTGTGAACACTCTTCTTTTCAAAGAAAGTCATGGGCTGATTTCAAACCCACAACCTGTTCCTTTCAGTAAAAGTTTTGCCTGCAGAAGACTTTCACTTGATATTTTTTACTTGAACATGACATGAAATATTTTTGCTCTTTTACTGATGGGAGGCTGCATATCTTGTAGGATGTTTCTTCTTCGTCAGTCTAAAGGAGAAGGCTTTTTGGTAAATACTAGGGAGCTTATTTCCAGTAGTCAATTCTGTATTTGCAGTTAACTTCATCTGGAAAATGTTACTTGGCTCCATACCAGCATTCTTTTGTTGGGGGAGACCTTCCAAATGCATCCCTGTTCATGGTCTCCTGGATGGTTTATAAACTTTCCGGGTAGATGGACTGGTTTCTTTGTGCTCATTTGTTTGGTATTTTCCAATCAAGACTTACTAGCACGAAGTAATTCTTAAAATTATATGGTTTACAGCATGGGTGGAACAAGCTGCTTGTCCTGGGCCCTACCTGGTGTCATAGCAGGGAAAACCAAAGAGCACAACTTGGCCATAGCACACAGGGAATGGAAAATCAAGGGTAAATGCCAAACTCCAAATAATGTTTGGTTATTGCTAATTACAAATTAAAGCACCCTGACTTTCAAGTGTACTAAACAACATGCTGGTGACTTGCTGGAGCTGCAGAAAATCACTGAACTGGTTGGTCAAAATTCTGCTGCAGCAGGATTTTAGCCCTGATTTGAGGTACATGATGCTTTCAGGCTGTGTGAACCTTGTAAAAAGTAGAAATGAGGTGAAATTGGCATCTTGATTTTAGCTCTCAGGTTTCCTTGTGACTTATGCTTACAACAAGATGTCTTGCAAACATCTTCTTGGAATACTGCTTCTTTTCAAATGCTAGAAAAGTCCTTTGCACTTAGTCTGACCTGCTTGTCTTTCGTGAAGTTTCAGCCTCTTCTATTTTTGTAAACAAGTTGTGGAGAGGTAGCTAAATATTAGCATATATATACATGCTATATATAGATTTGTATGTGTATATGTATATATATGCTGGATTTTCTTTATGCTTAAAAACTGAACAAATACCTGAAGGAGTAAGATACCATCAGGTAATTAGGATAAAAGGGGAATTTAGGGAAAATGCTTAATGCATGGTAAACAAGGTAATTGAGGAAGCTTCAGGCAAGGTAATAGAGAAGTGGGGGAAGAAGTAGCTGTGGAATGCCAGATTTCCATGCTTGGTTCCAGTGACAAATAAAGGAGTGACACTGCAGTCACCTGGCAGCCGGCCACAAACTCGCTCCACTGAAAGGAATTTATTCAAAATAGAGTCAACAACAAATTCTTAAATATTTCATCTTGGCAGAAGAAAGCCTGGCTCAACACCACTACATTCCAATCTTCCTGGAGTTCCAGGTTAACATATATATGTGTATGTGCTCTGGTTAAGTGTCACCCGGGAAAAAGAAGAGATCAGTGTCTGTCTAAATTCTGTGTGCTGGTTCAGCCAGCAGGACTGTCCCCACGGCTGGTACCACCCCCTAAACCATCACACTCCATTAGCAAGAGGCTGATGTTGGCTGAAGGCAGCAATTAATGCTCTGGAAATGTTCACTTTAGAAACAATCCACTGATGTGCATTAAAGAGACACTGCATATGCCTAGAATGAAGGGCTGAAAGTGCTTTAATGAATAACGCAAAACATCTCTCAAATATGAGGTAACTTAAGACAAGTCTGAAGCCAGACTCTCGCCAACACAGCATTTTGAGTGCTGTACATATGGACAGGTGATAGGTACATGCTGAAGGGTGCATGTACCACCCTTCCAGCAAAGCTCCTCCTCACCATAGAGAGTGGATTTTCTATATGTGCATTGATATTTCTACTAATTCTACACTGTATTAAGGATAATGAAAGTATTCATCCAATTCTGCTTTGCTTCAGGTTTTCCTGTAGTAAGATAAAGCTGTACCTTTATCCTTATCTGTACCTCTGATACACAGAGCATAGGACAAGCTGTCATTGTGGCAAATGAACAAAGCATTTTAATTTATTTAGCTCTGTTGGTCCCTCAGCTGTTTCAGTTATCAACAAAATACTGCTATAAATACTGCGTTTGCAATAGAAGGAGTGGTAAAATGGCAATATTCACACAGACATGAAAAAGGTGGTGTGACTGCTATGAAAGTCTATCACTGAGAAGCCGATGTGTGTACAAAAGGCAAACCAGCTTTAAACAGGGCCTGTAAATAGTGACAAGCCAGAGAAGAAGCTGCATTCTCAGTTTTTTCACTTGCTTCACTAGCCTCATCTACATCATAAAACAGGAACTCAAAAAATCAAACCAATATGAAAAATAAACCACTGAGTAATCTGAAAGCATGTATTTTAGTCTAAGTTCAGATATTTTTCCTGTATCAAGGATTCATCATGTTGTCAGGAAAAAACACCACCTGCTACTGTTTACTTTCCCTGACAACTTTTTTTGATTTTCAGCAATGTCTGAATGGCCGAGCTGGGGACAACTCCTCACAGTGAATCACAGAATCATTAAGGTTGGAAAAGATCTCCAATACCACAGAGTCCAACCTTTGACCAAGCACCACCTTGTCACCCAAACAAAAAACACCAGTTGTTTCTTGAACACCTCCAAGGATGGTGACTCCTCCTGCCTGGGCAGCCCATTCCAATGCTTGACAAGCCTTTCAGTAATCTTTCTGAAGCGAAGATCTGCTGCCCAGGATTGACATACAAGCAGAGGAGACAGAGACAAAAGCCTCCTCTTGTTTCACACTTCCCAGTGACAGGTTAGCTGTGGGCCTCCCTCTTACACAGCAGAAAGGTGCATATCCATGGAGATCACACCAGCACAGGAAACACAGCAGCTCTGCCCAGAACACAACTGGTTAGAGAAAATATTGCACAGAGCAAGGGAACTGGGATCTTGCTCAGATTTCTCTTCTCAGGAAAAAAGAGAGAGTGATGAATTTAGGAAACTGCCCCTGCCCTGGAAGTGTTCAGGGCCATGTTGGACAGGGCTCTGTGCAAGCCAGTCTACTGTGAAGTGTCTCTGCCCATGGCAGCGAGTGGAAGGAGATTATCTTTAAGGACTCTTCCAACCCAGGCCATTTCGTGATTCTTTAAGTTTTAGAGTTTTTGGAATACTTTATGTGCAAATACTTTCAGAAGGGAGCAGGGAAGCTCTTTCTTGGAGGGTTTTGGTGCTAATTTCTTACCTGCAGATGAAGACAGAGATGTCTGTTTATGCACAATCTGCTACTCCAGGCATCAGTGTTCACTCTGCTGACAAAGGCAGTTCCTAGAAGGAAAAAAAGAGAAATATTGTTATACATAAGTGAAATAACCTTCTTGAGGATGAAGTTCTATTCCCCCTCCTTCCTTTTAATGTTTTGGAAAAACACCAGCTTCACCTGGCACCTATAGATCTACAACAGCCTGGTACACACAAGCAGTACTTTATTTTTGAAAAGTTAGTTCAAAAGAAACGTGGAATACTGCTTTTTATTTGCTGCTTCCTATACATTGTGTGACATGTTCATGCTATAAATAAAGAGTGGTAAACAACATTTCAACAGCTTTCCAGAACATTAGGAAAAAAAAAAAAAAACAAAAAAAAAACCCCTAAGCACTGTATTAGGTAGTCACGAGCATCTACCACTGGTAAATTGTAAATATAGGAGATTGTGAAATAATCTTCTTTCCCAATTTTCTTTTTAAGGAAAATAATCCTCAGACTGGAGCGCTTCCAGATGTATAACCCTCCAAGTGCTCTGGAGCTGCACACCCTGACTCCCTCACAGCAGTGAATCACGAGCAATGCATGCACAAACAGCCAAACCAACTGGGCAAAAGGTAACAAATCCCAAACTGCTGATTAAGACTAATAATCAGCTCAGAAGGGATGCTTACTGCAACAATGTTTAACAGCATCATTGTGACAGACATTGCCTAATATTATGGCACAGCCAAGGAGAACATGTGAGATGTGGTTATTTTTAAGCCTTCATCACCAAAGATTTTCTGAGTTATATTTTAAAGGAACATATCAATTATGTGTAACTCTACATGGAAACTTTATAGAGTGCAGCATGGAAAAACAGCATGGAAAGTGCAGGATGGAAAAACAGCTCTAAATCACAAACTTTCCACTGGTATTTCAGCATCTCCTCTACCACCGTTGTCAGATACTGAATTTTCTCCAGACAAAATGTTTGTCTCCTAATATCTATCTGATGGAAACATGTAATAAGTACCAACTCCAGCATAAGAACATCATAAGAGTTCAGAAAACAACAAAAACCTCTCAAAGATCTGGAAAGAAGGGAGGTCTATAAAATACTGAACTATACAGACTATGCATCAAAGCCCTATAGAAATAATTGCACCTCTCATTATAGCCCAAACTCCACAACAGGACATTCAGGAGCTCCAAAAGTCTCAGGCACATATCATTTTCACCATGACTGACTGAATAGGCAGCTTTCATTCACAAACTGATATTAATTAAATTCCTGGGTTGCCACAATATGTTTTTGTGATGTTTTGCGCTTTCCAGACTCAGACCCACTAACATTCACTAACAGTTCACAGAAGTCTTTTACTCTAACTCTGAAATGAACAGAATAATTTTTGGTGAGTTTATGTCTCTCAGCTGAGAAGCCGTAATTTAACAGAAGGAAGATATGCTTATTAAATCTCCTTAATGTATTCGATTACAGTTCTGTTAGAGAACATTCCTTTAAGTTCTCTACTCAGGTTTACTCACCATCTAGTCCTAAGTAGGGTCAAACTCAGTAAGTCATAGAAAATGCAGAACATTGATCTAACCCAACACAATCACGTTAAATCACCAGTGCTTGAGCCCCAGTTACTTACCCATCCCCACTTACACATGTTAGATTAGGAAAATAAATCTGGTTTTAGGATACAGATGGTGAATTAGTTAATCCAGAAGGACAGATGCTTCAATTTTGCTGAGGGAGGGAGAGATAGAGAAGAGAGAAATAATCACCTCATCCTAAACTACGAAAACTCAGCTTTGAGATGCTGAAACTTGTCTTCATCTACTACAAACTGATCAACTGCCAATACACAAATAGTAAACATTTTAATTACCACTGTTTGTTAATTACCCCAGGACACTTTCTGCAGAGAAGAGGGGCCGTGATGCTATCCAGCAGCAGGGACTGACACTTCCACTCCAACAGAGCCGCATTATCTGTAGCTCTACTGAAGCCCTAAAGCTCCTCTCAGACCACTCTGCAAACTGAGTGGGAAGGAGTAAGGATAAGAGCCACATTCTGTCCTTAGGGACCCCTATTAAATCAGATTCCCAACATCAGCCACTTCCTCTTTGTTTTCCTCAAGCCATATGGCTTCCTGACAAAATCTGTACAAACAATAAATCCATTAATCAAGCCACTGCTAGAGGAAAAGGCTTTCCCCCCCCCCCCTTCCCTTCATCAATCGAGACGTTTTCATGGAGATGTTTTATGTATTTTATTTTATGAAAATCCCAAGGAAAATACTAAAGTGGTCTTTGTTCTCACACTGCAGCCCCAGTTCAGTTCATAATTGTAGATGGAGATCCTCACATAAAATGCAAAGAGACACAGGAATAGAGAGAAGCCAGTCAAACCAACAAGAAAAGAGTCCAGCCTAATTGAATCTTAGCAGGAATACAGCATAAATTACTACCTAGGTTTGCTGGCATACTGTCTCAAAAAAACGAAGGTTGCAAAGAAAACATAATTAAAGAAGTAGATAAAATAAGAGAGGCATTAAAAGCCTATTCGCACAAGGCTCGGAGATATGCACACATGCAAATGCCACAAGCAGCTCCAAGGAAGAGTTTCTTTTAAGAGATGACACAAATAAAGGACTTACCCACATGCAGGGAACTCAGGGGGAGGGAGGAAATACGGAGAGGAGCAAGATTTCTACCTCTTGGAGGTGAGAAACTCCCTTTCAAGCAGGTGGAAAGATCTCCTACTCCACTCAAAGAAGGGAGAGGAACACTAAACCCAAACCTAATCTGGCTCATTCTTTCACCAAATTAAACAAACACCGGAGGTACTGCTGGAAATGCAAACTGCCTGTTTTGATGATCTGTTCCCATGGAGGCTTTTCCTAAAACTTCTTTGACTGAAATTTTATTACTCAACAGTCTGCAGTGCAGGAGGATTTGGAAGAACAAGAAATTACTTTCCAACTCTGGTGGTCTCTTGCAGTCACACACTTCTAAAGCAACTGTGACCCTTCCACTCACACGGAAGGAAAGCAAGATTGGCATGGTAACAAATCTTTTTACCTTACATCATGTTTTACTTTCCTCACAGGTGGTCTACAGCTTACTGGATGACCAAAACGGTTCCTCAATTCATGTGAGCAAAACCAACCCTCTGTTTAAATGAAGTACAGGAAACACAAAGCAGCTTATGACACTGACAAAGACCTTACAGAGAAGGAGCATAAAAAAAGGTACGAAGTTCACTTTTCAAAACTTGGAGCAGGATTTTTTTATGGGGGAGGGGAGGGTGTTGTTTGCAGTTTTTTTAAAATACAGGAAAGCAGCATTCTTGCTTAAAAGTGGGAAATCTTTGAAATGACATTGCGTTTGTTGAATTAAGTAACAATTAGCTACAAAGAAGAAACAAAACCCCAGAGCTTAGAAAGTTTGAGTCATTATCTCCAAGGAGACACATCTGTAATGTTGACAAGGTCAGAACATTTCAGTCAGTTCTTGTGAGTACTGGGAGATACAAGATGTTAGCTTCTATTCCTATCAAGGCAATGGCAACTCTGAAAGACTGCAGATATCACTTGGAGCCTACACCACTATGAATTATTAGCCTTGAGGCCACAGCCTAGAAAGATACCACATCATATCCACAGTACAGATGGATTTGTGGATGCCTTGAGGTAAAATGAAAGGTATGTTTGTTTTGGACAGGGTGGTAAGGAGGATCAGGTGCTGCCAGATAGGGAGGCCTTTCACCACATCTGGGGCAGATGGTCCCAATTATCTTCTCATCACTGCTAATCAGAAGCCATCCTTCAGCAGCTATATAATAACCTATGTAAAAACAAACCTGGGATTGCTCTTTGGCTTCCAGCAAGAGGAGAGCCTGCCTGTCACAAGTCAGTCAGTGAAGGCAGCATCCTGTCTTGGAGTCTCATTTACAGGACTGTGGTATGGAGCTCTGCAGGTGCAAGACAGTGTCTTCACATCAGGTAAGAAAGCGGAATACGGGTGATGCTGACAAGAAAATTTAGGGGCACACCAGTGGGGAGGAAAAGGCAGCTCCTGCCAGCTTACTCCTCTGCCCTTTCTGACCCTACTGATGAACAGCATGTGCTGCCAAATTAACAGGACCTCTAGCCCCCTGCCTTGGCTACTGCTCTTACCTACAGGGACAAAACTGATCCAAACTGGAAGCAAGATACATTATTTGGAGACTATAAAGAGCATCAAGCTCTTCATGTTCTCACTTGACTGTTGAAGGTGGCAAGTCATAATATGATCCAAAGAATTTATTGCCTCTTTTCCCTGAGCAACCTAACACCTCAAACAGAATTGAGAAAGGATTTGTCCAGCCAGACTTCACTCCATCATTAAGTCCCATACCCTGTGTTAGCAGAAGCAATGCTATTTACATCTCAGAAAATAAGGTGCTTCTTTGTTACTGCTATTATGCTCTTCTCAGGAAGAGAAAAATACTGCTTATCTTCAAATTCAGCTCTCAACTACTCCTTATTTGCCCACAACACTGCATCCTAGTTCTTTAAGCTCTACTGTGGTGTTGAAAAGCAAGGGCTACAAAAAACATGTTGACACATAAACCAAGAAGAGTGGAATTAAAATTATAAAGCAGCTTGATGTAAAGAAAAGTCTTGACTGATCTCCAGAGTTCTGCCTGTCATTTGTCTCCTTGAAAGTACGTGAAGGGAATCTGCTTTCCAGGAACAAGAGACTTGAATTCATTTAATACATTTCTAAGCCTTTAGAGTTACAGTTGTTGAGAAAAGAGAAGAAGAAAACCACTTGAAGTGATTTATTTTCTTTTTGATTAAACAACACAGCCAAGAGAGCCGTGGCACATGAGCTCAGAGGACATCAGAGCAGAATACCCAGGTAGAGCAGTTTGCTTTCTCTTCCTCCAAACACTTTATTTTACAACCCCAATGATTAATGTCCATGGAACCATTACTCCAGGATGTAAAGGGGGGTGCTGATACAGCAGAAAACCATCACAGCTCACCCACAGACTCACCTGCATGTCCTATTCCCTCATCCTCATGGCTGCACCTGGAAAACACCAGGGGAATTGCACAGAAACCAGAAGCTTCTCTTCTTGTCAGCAAGACCTCTTCATTTTTTTCAGCACAGGAGGCACTGAGGTGTCACACTCACTGACAGGAGGAATGCTTTCCTCTGCTTCCTTCAGCAGCTGCTGCTGATCAGAGGATTCCCTACCAAAACACTGCCCTGGCCACACCGCTGTGGTTCCACACACTCAGGCTTACTTCACAAGGTCATTATTCAACAGAACAGCAGAGAAAGTCATGGCAAGAATTTGCTTTGTTGTTGAAAACTTCTTTTACACTCACAGTCAACCCAAGTCCGCCCTTTGATTTAAAGAGAACAGCTCCCTTACTTTACATTCCTGTCTTACTTGCACAATTTCACACTTGACTACTAATTTTTCAAACACAGCAAACTCTTGCCATACCTACCTATGACTAAGTATTTTGCACTGGTTCTCAGAAAAGCGCATATGAGAAAGTGTATTTAAAGAAAACGAGCAAAAGACTGAGTAATAACAGTCAAGCAGCATTTAGCAGAAATCAGGGTTAGGCCTGGATGTTCACATACCCACTGACCTGCTTGGGTTGGAGGTTAACTCTTGTTATTAATCCTAGTGGTTAGAACTACAGGAAGGCATTTCAAAGGAATGATTCAAGTTAAAACATGTATTTCATTATCATGCCCATCTCTGAAACAGTACAGCTGGGCAAGTCATCCAGGTATTTAGGCAACACAGAAGGGGTAGCACACAAAAATAGAAGTATAATGACGTGGCATTTGTTTTCATTTCATTCCTTAAGGATATTTGATAGTAACTGAAAAAAATAATGGAATAAGATTCTGGTTTATTTCTATTTGTCTAGTTAAAATAATGTAGAACTAATGAAAAACAAACCCAGATCTCCCTTTCCAGAGGAGCTGTGGCTGCTCCATCCCCCAAGGCCAGGCTTGGATAGGGCTCTGAGAAACCTGGGATAGCGGAAGGTGCCCCTGCCCGTGGCAAGGGGACTGGAACAAGATGGGCTTTAAAGTCCCTTCCAGCCCAAGCTAATAAAAGAATTTATGATTCCTTTAGCACTGAGCAGGTGTCCCTGCCAGCAGAATGACTGCACTGGTAGCAAAACAGTGGCTCACCATGCAGCCTGCATCTGCAGTACAGCCAGAACCCAACAGCCCCTCCAGCTCGCTCACAGTCGATACCACGATTCTCGAGTAAACAATGCTCCACCTTCTAGGCACTGCCAGACAATTCCCATTTCCACATCATATCAATTTATAGGCAATTCTTGAGAGCCTGTTCTATTTTTGAAAATAATGAAAGACTGCTGCTATCTTTGCAAGTACAAGCTCTTCTTTTCTGCTTCTCTGAGTTGTTTACACAGCATCCCTTTGTGTGATGATTTAGCCTGGTTTTGTATGAGCACCAAGGTAGGTTACTTTGCAAAGCCCAAATCGGGTGCATAAAATAATTAAGATATCAGGATTAAACAGTCACTGTTTGTCAATTAAAACTGGTTCACTTTAGAATTAACCCAAGCCAGTAAAAATATCCAGTGTCAAGTCAGTTTTGTCTGTAACATAAGCAGAACACTCAACATCACTCTGCATTTCCAAATAACCCTTTCAATATAAGACAGCTCTCACCCAAACCAGTGATTTTCCAGAGGGTCTAAAGGTTAACTTCAATTACCCTTTTCTTGGCAAGGAGTCATAAGCCACAGCTAATAACCCCTATTCCAGACTTCTTAGAATTGCACAGGACAAAGCAAAGCACTTAAGACAGTGCTCTTAGCAGCAGCAAAACCTGGCAGGTGACAGAGAAATCCAGCCCTTGTTCTAAAGGCCTGCAGTGTTCTCTTTTGTGACTGCCACCTTGCAGGCAGTGCACTGCTGCAGCCTTCCATCTGATTCCACAAACTCGACTTTTCCCTGTTTCCAAAGCACACAACTCCACTGGCACTTGAAAGCAGAATTCTGAACTGTACCATTCTCCCTGCCTGCTCCATTTCTGTCCGGCCCACGTGGCACCCCTCAGTTCTGAGTGAATTGGGTCAGCAATCAAATCCATATTTGTAAGACCCAGAAGATCACAAAGAGTCCAGCAATATGCATGAGCCAATGAAACTACACTGCTGAGAGGATAAAACAGAGCCAGTGTATTCCTCCATGACCATGCCAATGCTCATCCACAAGGAAAGGACATGACCAAGACAAACCATTTTCACCCATGAGAGCCATCAAAAGCCCACCTCTTGGTTCTGCCTTTGTACACAAGGCAAAGTGCTCAAGGGCCAAAGAGATATATTATCATCAATATATTAAGAGATCTTTATTTGAGATGATGTCTGGAAAACAACTTCATTAATGCATGTGAAATATGGAAAAATGGACAACAACATGTAGTTTTCTTGTTTATGTTGAAACAGCCTCAAAGTAACTCAATTGCAGCATAAGAATAATGCAGTAAGTTTTTTAAGCAATAATTTCTTTCAGGTAACTTGTGTCTGCAAATAGCTTTCATCTAATGAACTTCAAATATCTTTAACTGAAAGGACACAGTGGCTAATAAGAGGTAAAATACTATAGTGTGCAGCTGTTACATGTTTCATGGCTGTAAAAAACAGTCACAGATGGCACCTGCAGAGAGCAAAGCCAGGTCTGAAAGCTTGCAGATTTCCAGCTTCCTCCACAAGCATTTGTCCTTGGGAAAGATGAATACCCTCCATCAGTCCTTCATCCAATGTCCCTGTCCTGTGCCATCGTGGTCCCCTCCAAGAGTGTGCGAGGAAATATTATCAGGGTTATAATACACCATTTCTTAGTTACTAACCAAAGAAATACACATCTTAGAGCAGCTACTGCTATTATATAATCACAGATTTCTTTCCATGTGGAGCTTTAATCTCTCACTTCATTATGTAGTCAAGAGATGACAAACTTCCTTTTTCTTTCCTTACAATTACCCGTGAGTCAATGGAAGACAAAAATGGAACTGATTTTTGCTGGATTTACTGCACTCTGTCCAAGGAAATTTAATCAACCCTCTGTACAAATAATTCCAAGTACACTTGGACCTTGCACAGGTACAAGTGTAAGGCAAATGTGTGAGAGAGAAAAGTTAATTTCTCTACTGCAATCCACCGCCTCCTTCCCAAACAGCAGGAAGTAAAGCCACAGCATTTGTCTCTCTTGAGACTTTAACTTAGGAGAAACCCTGCAGAAAGTGATCAAGGCACAGCAGTTTCAGAACTAATTACAATCTCTAGTTGGACACTTGCTGGTAGTTAATTAGCACCTAGGAGAGACAAAGGCCAACTCATCATCAGTTACCAGGAAATGCAATTGATGCCATTAAAGTATTTGAAATTTATTTATTTATTTGTACAAAACTTCATCTTTGTCATTGGCAACACAACTAAACACTTCAAAGAAGTGTTAATAATCAGGAAGAAAGCAACACTTTACTGTTCAGTTCTACCATTCAGCTTATTGCAATGACTGGTGCTGTCACTGTTAAATCCACCTCATCCCATCTCAAACCAATGGATTTGCCAAATGCAAATAATTAATTTTAATGTAAACATTAAAACCAAGTTTTCTGATACAAACGTGACCCCTAACAGTCAGTACTTGAATTCTCTGAAAAAGGTGTATTTTTGGGGGTGACATGCAAGGTATGGGATGGGAGACAAGGAAAAGCTACTTTAATGGATGACTGTTCAAGTCTACTAGCTCAAATAAAAAAAGGAAAGCAACGCCAAAAAGGTTTTTAACAACAAAGAATATAATGGGCTGGTCAAAAAATACCTTGTACAGCAAAGTGAAAATAAATGTATAAAGCTTAGTGGCATCCCTGCCTGTGGCAGGGGGTTTAGACCAACATGACCTTGAAGTTCCCTTCTAAACTAAACCAGTCTGTGATTCTAGATAGCCAGACTCTCCAAGCACTGGAACAGTGAAATGAGAGAAAAATCTTCATATACAAAAACTTTTTCTTCATAAGATCTTCAAAGCAGGGAATCCTTTATTTTTTAAATTTTCCTGACTAATAAAGTCCTCACATTAACCCCAGAGTCAGACCAAGGCAGAAGTCAACACTTTTATTCAAAGACCCTTCCTTACAGTTTAACAACCAGTTACTTATTTACTTTTTTGTTTGCTTGGTTTTGGTAGGGGACTGTCAGACTCATTACCTAAAATTAAGTGTTCAACATAAGCCAGACAAAATGGAAATATTTCTTCAGAGTTCAAAAGCAGGACTGAGATCCTGCTGCCATTAGCAGAAAAAAACAGGAAAATAATCAAGATAAAGAAGAAAAGCAGCACTAAAGTCCATTGTGCCTGTTAAGCTGTTTTCAGACTTCTGTGGAACTGCCTCTCTCCTGATTTAGAGCAGTGGCCAGCAAACCCCCTAAATTCCCTTTGGAAAGGGCCCATGCACTGTAACAACATGTGGGAGGTCCAACTGCAGTTCAAAGCCAGAGAGCTGCAAACACACAGGACCAACATGTTGTAAAGATGTACTGATACCTTTCAGAGTCCTGCTCAGTCAAGGGAGACCTGAAGCCAAGTGGCCAAAAAATAGGCTGTCCTGGTCTGCTGATACACAACACTAAGTCTGGCTCTTTTGATGACTGCCATTTTTCATGTGTTTTTATCAAAGCTCTTCTTTCATCTAGACACCATTTTATAAATTCTCCTCATCCCCAAGCATAGCTGTTTGCAAAACTGCAAACGTTTTGTTAAAGGCATTACAGATCTAATCCACAGTATCACACAGTGGCCTGGAATGGAAAGGACCCTAAAGATCATCCCAGTCCAGCCCCCTGCCATGGGCAGGGACACCATCCACTATCCCAGGTTGCTCAGAGCCCCATCCAGCCTGGCCTTGGACACTGCCATGGATCCAGGCAGCCAAAGTTTCTCTGGGCAACCTGTGCCAGGGCCTCAGCAGCCTCACAGGGAACAATTTCTTCCTAATATCTAATCTAAACTTGCTCTCTGTCACTATGAACCCATTCCCCCTTGTTCTGTCACTCCAGGCTCTTTTGACAAGAGTCTCTCTCCATCTTCCCTCTGGGTTCCCTTCAGGCACTGCAAGGCCACAATGAGGTCACCCCAAAGCCTTCTCCTCTCCAGGCTGAACAATCCCAGTTCCCTCAGCCTTTCCTCCCAGCAGAGCTGCTCCATCCCTCTGCTCCCCTTGGTGTCCCTGCTGTGGCCTGGCTCCAGCAGCTCCCTGTCCTTGCTGTGCTGGGATTTGGAGTTGACTTTAGTTAACACTGACTCAGATCCCATCCAAATCACACCAATTCTGATGAGTTCTCACACTTTCAATTTCCAGAATTTCAATGAAAACCTAGAAACAGCTATTTAAAGTTTTAGTTAGGATAGCTTCTTCCCTGGGGGCAAATGGAATCCACCTACACACAAAACTTACAAAACAGTCAATAGCAAAGTGTAAATATTTTCTGAAACTAAGGAGTCAGAATCAATGAAACAGCTTTTGAAACTGCAAATGTAACAAAGAGGCTGAATAGAATGTTTTCACCTTCTTTGAAAATGACAAAGACTAACAATGCTAAAAGGTTTTTGGAGGCTAAGAGATGCACAGCTTGTTTCTATCAAAAGTCTAATGCCAACTCAATTTAAAAATACTCTCTTGCTACTAAATGCAAACAGCAGGTGGGTACACAGCACCACCAGAGAGCTGAGACAGAAACAACCAAACTGAGAGCACAAGACTTGAATAGTGACCAAATTCCATCACAAACCTGCAGGACAGTGCTACCTCTCTGAAAATTATTTAAGGAAAACATCTGTTTTTCTCCTTTATGTTTCATACCACTTAGTGAAAGGCTCAGAAGATATCAAGTGATGAAACCACCTGAACAAAAAGCTCAGATCTTGGGAGTACTTATCCCATGACAGGATAGCTGGGAGTGAGGATTTTCTTGTTCAGTTAAGTTCTCTGTATTTACTCCAGACACGTACAGACCAGGAATTTGCCTGGCTCGTTCATCCCTTTGCTAATTCCTACAAGGACCACAAGACTATTCCACCTCCAAAGAAACCAGCACAAACGAGTAATTACCTCAACGTGCCTCAATGATGCCCTTAAGCAGGCAAATATTTCCTTATGGAAATGCCATATAAGAATCTTAAATTCCACTGGGCAGCAACAAATACCACCAGAAGGTCTGCATTTGTATTCCTTCTATTGTGTGCTTTCTTGTTGCACCACCAAATGCAATCTGCACATCTTACCTCTAAGTTAATGCTTTGTGGAAAAAAAACACAAAGAACACTCAGTTATTAATAATAATCCTTAAGTATTATGTTAAGAACACACCAACTCAGTTGACTTAGCATAGTTATGCATTAAAGCTATCAAAAGCTTTAAAGCACGTTTACATAGGTTCTGAGATTAGCCAAACACTAAGTGAAAATCCCATTTCATGGTGAGAAAATGGGCCACTTCTCAGTACATTACTGACATCTTAATTTTTTTGAGTTAAAAGCCACATTCATACATTTCTACTAGACACTGCTGTTCATAATCACTGGATAACATCTGAGTTCAAGCAATCTCTTCAACTAGAAGAGAAACATCTATAGCAATGAAAATTTTATTCAGCTTCATAAAAAAGTATCAACCTACAGCACTCTTTATAACATAATACACCAGTTGCACACAATATTAAATTCAGCTGCAGTGATTGAGAATCCTGTTTGCTGACAGAAGCTCAAAAAATAATTCATTTTTCACCTGATGGATTACAGCTAAATCATTCTATACTGTAGACTAGTTCTCTGCCACAGCACCAACTTCCTGTACTGAGACTTCTCTTCTGTATTTCCAATATCAGAGTTTCCAGCTGAAACTACTGCTTAGGTAACTTCTGGAGTTCTATAAACAAAACAATGTTCTACAGATTGGTTATGAGGGCCCTATGTTGACATGCCACGTGGATGCTCTGTGCTAAAGAAAACACAGAGCAATGGACTAACAGTGCCAGGCAGAAGCACTTCTAACTTGTCACCAAAAAGATCTATTTGCTCCCAGAATCTACCAGTTTTGGGTTAGTACTACTTTCCTTTGCCAAATTTCTTTCAGGAACACTGTAGCTCCTTGTTCTTTGTGTTAGTCCAGATCTGCAAGGCACCAAGGAAAAGAAGAGATGTAGAGGACAGGTAAGCAGTTTTAAAATAATTCTGGATGTACATGGTTATCACAGAAAAGTCAGTAACTCTGGCAGAAGGACTACAGCAATGTGGTTGGCAAAGCATTCCATCAGGTTTTAGGTTTTCCAAACATCCACGGAGACATTGAGAAACAAGGGGAAAACCCAACACGAAACAAAGCAATGCAAGCCGTCCACTCAGTGACTCACTCACTGCTTATCTCAGCCTCCTATCAGCATTTTCAGTAGCAAGCCTTCCCTGACCACAAGTAACAGCCTGCTAGAACAGATAGAAAAATCTAATAGCTGACCCACACACAACAAAAAATAAAAAAAAAAACCAAAAAAACCCACAAAAACCAAAAATGCCCCAAACACAGCCACACCATGAACCAAACCTTAAAAAGATTTGATACAGCATGAGGAGAATCTGCTGCTTAATGAACTAAGATCTCCACACCAACTGTGCTGGTGGTAGAAATTCTGTTCTTCAGGCATTTATTCACAACGAGAACAGGAGAGCCACTAATGGCCAAAGCAGGAGTTCAGCAGGACTAAAAAAGCATTACACTACCTGGAACAACTTTGCAAGTTATGGAGAGAGGCTTTGGAAATCCAGATGTTCAGCAAAACAGCCCAGGAGTGCCAAATTCCCAAGCATTGGATGCACTGATGCTCGTAGTACCTTCTCTGCAGGAGGCAAGAGCAGAGTGAAACACTACTTTTTTGTTTCAGAAGATGAATCAAAGTTTAATTAGCCCAGATCTTCAGAGGAGGGAGATAAATTTTTTAAAGCCATGTCCAACAGTGATGAGGATTAGGAGTAACAGGAGTTATCTATATTTGATGTGTAGGAGAGGAACAAAATTATCAAATTCCAACATTAATACAACCAGACATTCTTGTTGTTCATTTTTCTCAGTTACCTTTTAGAAAGGACTTGTTTTTTATTATTTGAAAATAGAAATTGTATTTCTCTATTATTTATTCCAGTCATTTTTGTCTTTCTTGCCCTTGAGATTCATTTGATGTAGAAAAGCACATACTTTGCATAGGACCTAATACCCCACATGAGAAAAATTACTAGTTTTTACTAAAAGAGTCCTGGCATTACCATGAAATTATTTCTTTACTAGACAAAGTATTTTTAAGATGGATGTAAGATAGGACAAAAACATTGGTTCAGTCACCTCCAAAAGAACTCATTATAATAAAAAAAGAGTGCATACAGGTAAGACATTTCACCAAGCTATCACAGTCACAATTTTTAAAAATCCACCATATAACACAAACCCCATATTCTTCATGACTCATTCTTGGAAACACAATTTTAAAAAAAATTATATCAGTTTTTAGAGCGAAGCCATCAAAGCTGCAAAGTATCTCAATATGCTGTTATGCAATTCTTAATAAATAAGTTTTGGAAACACATTAAAATTAGAATCAGCATTTTCTTGACAGTTTGCTATTAACAGACAAATAATTATTTCATTTCTGCCAATGTAGCAAGCTGGTAGCAATCCAACATAAGTTATTCCATTTCAAGCTTGTTTCCTACCCAACATTAGGTGAAATTGGTTTACATTACTTGACTAATGCAGTACAGGCAAGACTCCTGACATTGACTGTAAGAGTGCCTCATACACTGGCTATTATTGCATAGCTGAAACAAAAATATAATTTAAATGTAATAATATTTAACATTGCAGCACCCTATGTCCTAGAAAAGCCCTCGCCCACAGCAGCAGCTTTGCCATTGATGAAGTCTGAGGTGTAGATAGAAGCCCCATAGGGAAACCTGAAGGGTAAAACACACCCAGACCATGACTTCCCCACACAAATAACTGCTTTCATTGCATCATTTCAAACTGGAAGTTCATTCATCAAAACAAACCTGTGCATTTGGAAAATAAACCTCTCTTGTGCATTTTTTTAACCCAAAAAGAAGCAAAAATTAGACTAAATGGAGAGTTCAGAAAGTTCCTCCTAAGTATAAAGCAGAACAGGTGGTGCTCTAAAGTCACAGCAATAATGCACAGCTACAAAAAGCCTCACCCAAAACCAACCTGAAAACCTGAAAAACATGAGTGGAGTGCTGTGGTACACTGCATCAAGTAATTACAGTGGTTTGGGTTGGAAGGGACTCCAAAAATCATCTTTTTCCAACCCATTCCACTATCCCAGGTTGTTCCAAGCCCTGTCCAATCTGGACTTGGACACTTTCAGGGATGGGGCAGCCACACCTTCTCTGGGCACCCTCTGTCAAGACCTCTCCACCCTCTCTCCACCCTCACAGGAAACAATTTCTTCCTAAAATCTGTTCACCAACATTCAGACTATTTTAGCTGTTACTGCTGTAGGAAGGGGAAGATTAAATCTTTCATCTCTATTTGCAGCAGGAAGAAATAACCCATGTGCAATCCAGTTCGGTGCTACAACAGTTGCATATCCAAGGACAGAACCAGCATGGCTGCACCACATGAAAGCAGATACCAAACACCAGTTGGTAAGTTACCAAAAGGCAAGTTACAATGCAGTTACAGAAGGAAAAATCCCATTTTCACACACCATATGAAGGTGAACAACAGCCTAAGCAATGGTTTGATACCAGTGTTAAGCTCTAAGAATGTTTCACATTAAAATCAAAGTAGGACACATTATCTCAAATAGCGGTTTGGACTCTGAAAGGAATTGCCATTTGGAGCATAGAGGCTGATTCTCTTCAGCCAACCACATTAATTAAATACCTACTGGCTAAACTAAACTTGGAACTATGCACAGTGTATACTGTCATAAAGGGGTGCTGGGGAAAACCATCAGTTTACGACATAGGCCCATAAACCAACCATAATTACTATTCTAAGGACTTCAGAATTGACTTCTTATCCATATTAGTTGAAAGGCCAAAAGATATTTTTATGGCATGATTTATGGTCTACATAAACCCTAGAAATAGAATACTTAGAGCCAAGTCACAAGGCAAAACCAGTTTTTTAACCCAAGGTAGTGTTGCTTCCAAGTCAAGAGTTAGAAGTCACCATCTACTCCTGGAACCAAATCTGACTGCAGATCTGCCCCCACCAACATCTCCCTGGGTTTGAGAAACATGAGAGATGTGGTTTTGTCTGCTTTTGCTCACACATAGTACATGAAGCCCTTACACAAAGTAAAATCAGTTAAACTCAAGTACAAGCCCATACCTGTTTTATGGAGAGAATGGCCAAATGTCTGTGACCCAGAGCATCCCAACTGCTTCCCTTTTCACTCAGCTGTGTCACAACACAAGACTATGACATGCTGCTGTTTTTTTCCATCCTTAAAACCATGATCTGGGGAAAACATGTATATTCTGAGTACTAATAAGGTTATTTTTTAATGCCATTAAAAGCCACTTGACCAGGACTGAGTGTGTGCTAGATAATGGATCAGAACACTCTTTACAGTAATTCAATTACAACTTAACTCCTTGAGCTTTCTAAAAATAAGGAGTATAATGGAAAGAGAGTGACTACTGGTGAGCAAACTGCGTCCAAGAATGACGTTAATGAGAATGTCAGCTCTAAGATACTGGGAGGGACAAGGAGCTCCTTGCAGTCAACAACAATGGACTACTACCATCAGAAAACAGACTTTGTTATTTATTTGGTTATATGTGATTATTTTTATGTCTAGTATCCACACATTTCACACAAAGGTGGACAAGAGTTCAGCCTTTCTTTATTTCTAAAGATGTTTACCTGCATCTTGGCTTTCTACATACACTGAACAGAGCCTAGGTAACAAAATCCCTGGGAAACATAATTTGTTATGCTCTAACTGCATTAAACAGCATGGACCAATGAGAACAACGTAACTCCCACTTGTGAAAAGGATGAACTTTCACAGGATTTTGAGCTAGTCGGTAATGACATGCTTCCTTCACACAAGGCTTTCATGCACTAATGTTCTTTTCCACTATTACTGATTTTTTTTTTTTTTTTTAATTTTGTGACCTATATATGTGGTGAGAAGTCAAGTAATTATAGGAGAACTGAGCATCAGGCATGAAACAAGCAGCTGAATAATTGCCCAGCCTGGCACACAGATATCCTATGTTGATCCTTTAAATAACACCATGACACGGGAAGAGAAGCTATGCTGAAGCTTCATTCGGGTTTTCATATTTCTACATTTAAATTAATGTACAAGATCAGAAACACCAGCACAACAAAAGAATTTGCGCACGTTATAGCACCTCCTCAAGTAACATTTCAAAGAAGATTAGAAGCTCCACTGGATTACTCCATGTTCCTGCATTTAGCTGCAAGTAGTTTGGGAATGTTCTCCCCAAGTAAAGGTTTATTACCTCACACATGTACCTTTTTAGAACTTCTCTTTAGCTTTTAGACTTGCTGATTGCAGGAACAGAGAACAGAAGCCATTGCCAAATTATCATAATGGCAACACCTTTCAAACAAAAGGCAAATTTTCTAATACAAACAGATAAGATATCTTGGTTTTACAGGTAGCATCAGAATTATTTAATTATGTTAATTTCTGTCTGTTTCTCTCATAACCCTGTATCTGTGCTGTAAGAAAAAATCCAAGTCTCTTTCTCCCAGCTCCTGGTTTATACTGGCCAATTCCAGCCATCACAGGAGGGAAGAGTTGCCCATATTTTAGAAAAAACCTGGAACCTTTTATCTGAAGACAGACAAAGCCATCAGAGCAGCAATGCTATGTGTTCCTCCCATTAAACAAGCCAGCCATACTGCACTTAAAAAGCACCTGGAATTGAGGAAATCCAGGCAGGTAGATGGATCCAGATTCCAGCAGATTCCAGCTCATGACAGAAGAGTATGTGCAAATCAAATGATCCACTCTTGATACTACTTATCTTTCTGACCTTATGATCTTTAGAGGAAAAAAATACACTAATGATCAAATTAATACTTCTGCCAGATAAAAGAAACCTTAAAATGCACAAAATTACATCTAAATTCTTAATTGTAAATTATTTTTTCCTCGAGTGTTTGGAAGACACTTCTTCCAAGATCTCAGGCACTGCTTCAGAACCACCTTACTCATTTTTCAAAATCAAAATGGCACCTTGCTGTAACTTATTTACAAAGCTGAAAGCTTAGAGTTTTTTAAAATTTTGTTTTAAAAGTAGCCCTATCTACCTAGCAAAAGAGATTATCTTCTTTCAAACTGCCTTATTACTGCATAAAGAAGTGAGAGGAGCTCTCAGCTTCAATGTTTTTGTTCAAACACACCCAGGACAGCCAAGTGTGCTCATGGAATACGGCACCTATGGGGAAGGTCACCTGTCCTGACTGACAGCTGAATATTTTAGGAAAATATTCAGGCCCAGAAGGCCCAGAAGAGAATTTCAAGTTTAATGCATCTGTTGAAAGCTGGCATCAGTGTTTCTGGTGAAGCTACATGCAGGATTGGCACCCAAATATAAAGAGTGCCCACAAAGGCACTACTACACTACTTTTACACTACTATTCTACACCAAGAAAAAAATGAAAAAAATTCAGGTTACAAGTCTCTAACATAACACTGCTTCTCCTGACACTGAATATACTGTTACCGTGGTGTGCTCTTGCACATTAAAGTTACAGAAACACAGAAAAGCCAATCCATAAAGAATCCCTGCTTTCAAACAGTGGTTGCAGTGATTATAATGCTCCCAAAGCAGCTCTAAGTGAACATGGAACACTGATTAAAGTATGTCTGAATCATTAGCATGAGTTTCACTTCACCAGCCAAGCTTCAAGAGATGAAAAGTTACCTTCCCACACTTACTGACTGACCAAAGGACTGCAGGTTTCTGCTCTCAGCTCCACATCATAGTGGTACATTCTTTAGAGTCTCCACAATCTCACCAATTCCATTCCACTCAGAGGTAGAAGGAGCCATCAGCTCCCTCAGGGTTTCTCCCAGAAAGTTCAGCCTTCCCCTGCTTCCCTCCCAGGCGTGGCACAGCCCTTCTGTCAGCACACACTCCAGGCACTCTGGCCTGGCAGCTCTGTTTTGCTGGCAAGGGCAGCAGCAGAGCTCTGAAAGTCTTCATCATGATGTCTTTAGGGGTAAAGTTGTTGCTGCAGATGGTGTGTGCACAGCAAGGGACTACACCAGCACTACTGCAGTCAGCTAATTAAATAAATCGGGCTTGCTTCAGCACCTGCAAAACCATACCAGCAATGAAGAAACCATCCCCATCAGAAACCATGATTTTAGACATTATGCATATGACAATTCCACTATTAGATAACATGGCACAGGCTCTGAACATTCAGATTTCTTATCTGTAAACAGCTGAAGTTAAACATCTCTCAGAAAAATAATTGCATGAAGTTAATTATAGTTATAATTTCTCAGTCTCCACAAAATACGTGGTGCTAATATCCTGATATGACTCTCAGTTCTGGAAGGTTTAGTGTAAGTGAACAATTTTAGTCTCCCCAAAGCCAGCCACAAGCTGAAGTTGACAAGTGAGAGTAGTGAACTTCCAGTTTCCATGGAAATGGAATTTGGATCAGTACAAACGGGGATTTCAGAATTTAAACCCCAACTCTCTCCATCTTCCATGCTCTACTCCAGCATTCATTTTCCTGGGTAATAAGGGGTCAAGAGAGGCACAAATGCCACACACATTTGTGATCCCGTAACTCACCCTGCCTTGTGGCTCCCCATTTTCATTGAGGTTGCCAGCCCCTTCCAAACCAGGCACCAGAGCCATCAATTCAGCAGCAGCCAGCCAGCCACATTTACAAACACGACAGTATCCCAAAAGTGTCCATCTGGGAGGACAGCCGGGTTCCCACTTACGTGATGCTAATATCCATGAAATAGCTGCTTTACAGCCCCATGCTGAACCACCCAGAACAGGGAAGTTGTGCCATACAGCACAATCAGTAACGAAATTCTCATTTTTATTGTTTATATGACCCAACAGAGCTGCACAGAACTGTGGGATTTTCCAACTGTAAATCTTCAGGCAAGAACCAAAAAAAAGTATATTTCATCACCAATAATGCAACACTCTTGCAGCAGTGGCTGCCTAGTGCTACAAGGGAGAATTCCAACTGCAAGGGTGCTCACTGGCAGCTAAAACAATTTGCCAATGGTTTTTATGGCTCCTATTCCTTCTGTTTGGCAAGAGCAGAGGAAGAGTAATTTTCTGGAAGTATTTACATTGATTTTGCAGCTGATGACAACACTCCATCTGCTCTCAGACACTTCAGTGCCGCTGCCAACTTCTTCCCTAATGTGGTGCGTTCTCCAAGTTTGCCAAGGCTTCTCTGCTTCCTGCACTTCTTCTACCATGTTTGAAGAGGACATTTCAAGTTGAGATATGAAGACCTATCCCATACCCAAACCCACAGATCAGCAAACAGATTTCAAATTAACTCCCTCTCTTAAGACCATCACCTCCAGAAGCTTGGGGATGTGGCTGATGCCATCAACAGAGTTGGCAAAATCCCCAAAATCAAAGGGTCCAGGCTGATGAGAAGAAGCAGAATTTTAAAAGGACCTAAACAAGCTCACTATTTTAAGAAAAGCCCAAAGTCCTATGGAAATCAAGATTTCCCCTAGCATTTAAATATGCAAGCAAGTCAAGCAATATCCTCTCTATGCAAATACTGGCCTAACCAAAAAAAAAAGACAAAATTTCAGGTACTTATGCAGCATCTGTACAATTCTACCCACAAGTGCAATTCTACCCAAAAACTTTGTGTTCTAAATCAAAGAGAAGGAAGGATTCAGTTTGTACCCATTTGCCTGACACCTTTCCTAGACTTAAACATCAAAAGAAGAAGCAAAAGCAAATAAAGATTGGAAAGCTTGATTTTTATTTTTTTTTTTTTAACTTTAGGGCATTTATCAAGGCAGAAGCATACACAAGTAACTTGGCTGCTGTCTCCAACATTTATACAATGATCACACCACCTTGATGCCATGCCTTATCATTCAAGATAAAGTAGTCCTAAAAATGTAAGAGCTCATCTTACAGCATCATATAAGTGAAAAATAACCCCCCAAAAGTCACATACAGCAGCATTCTTTTTAAGATGAATCCACCACATGAAAATGGATTGCAAGGTCAGAGATTCCTGAAAAGTGACTATGACTTTCAGTTGCTCACATAAGAATTGTAAGTATTTAAATGCCCAAGAACTGAGATAAAGAGCATCACCTTGCTCATGTTTCATTTGAAAATAGGAAGAGTATGTTAGTGTGAAATGGCATCCCTAGGAAATAATCCCAACAGGGTAAACGCAGGAAATAAATGCTTTAATCCCTTTTGTATCAGTACATATTTATTAGGCCCTGTCCAGAGATAAGCAGGATCTGTGGTGTGCAGGATGGATTCAACATCTAAAGGTTTCTTCCAGCACAACACCTGTCTCAAATTATCTGTCCTGACAACCAGAGAAAGGATTACTGTATTTACAGGCAAATTCTTTCTTCGAACAATTTGCCCTTTTATTCTCATTTCACCGACCACCTAAATAGAAGAAAAAAGCAAATCACAGCACATGAAAAACAGGCACCAGCCTCATTTCACTGCTGCAATTTGTCTTTGTTACTTCAAAAACCCAGGACCACGGCAATAAGCCCAGAAAAAACAATGGATTTGAAATGAGCCTTCTTCTCTTCCAGAACCTCTACAATATGTAAGCAACTTCCTGCTTCAAGTTACACGTTCAGAGAAGCTGAAAAGATTTGGAAATGACCAACCTCTTTGCATTTAGGCATTTGACTCAGGTTTGCATTTGTAACAAATAGAAGAACAATTCAGCAGCTACATCAAATATAGCAGCTTGTTTTGGCAACCTCATTTTTAGGAGATCAGATTTAGCTATTCAGCTTTAATACTCTTGGTTTTGAATTAACCATCTGTTCTGTAACATTGAGACAGACCTGGTGAAGTGCAGTGTCAGTCTAAGGGGTCTTGAGGCTAAAACACACAAATACATACATATATATGTGTGTGTATATATATATATGCCCACAGCAGGCAAAAAGAGTCAATCAAAATAATAACCAACTTTCCCCAAAAGGAAGCTGTAGTGTTGATTTTTCTGTCTATTCTGGGGCTTCATTTTACCCAATTACCAAGAGGAACTTAGGCCAACCCAGCACACATTTTAATCAATTAACACAAAAAGGGAACAACTCTGCAAGGCTTTAGAACAAAAAGACTTGCATTTACAACAGCTGTAGGTCAAAGATCTTAATCTGGGTTCTTTTGAGAAGATTGCCAAAAATAAACGTGCTTTTCCACTGTAAATTGTCACTGCAAAGGAAATGCAAAATTCTCACATGAAAATACAGTTAGAAAAAGCTCCATAGGCAACAATGCGTATTTTTAAAGTATTGCTGGGAAAATATGCTTATTTTTCTCCTTTCAAAAAGATAGATGCAAGTACACAGTTGCTCTGCTATTTAAAGTCCCATCAAAAGAAGAGAGGATTTTTAAGTGTTGCTTGACCAGTGAACTTTTTACAAACATTTTAATCAACTGATCCCTTCAAGAGAATCACATCATCAAAAAGCCATTTATTTCAGCAGGGTACCAACAGAAATGGCTGAAAGTTGGCTAAAGCATGCTAAAGAAACACAGAACAAGCTCAGAGTTCCCAGATCTTCAAACACCATCTATAAATAAAAAAAGCTCCCAGTAGCAGCAGTGCACTCCCGCGCAGTATCATCAATACTATGCTGTGCAGCTGATCCACTGCAGGAGGCTCTCCAAGATCCAGCAGGTCCTACTCCCACACGTGGTCAGTAATGAGAGCTTACAGGTCCCAGACTGCCACTTCAGTGACCTCCTGGACCTGCTTACAAGAGCTGCTACAACTGCTTTTACAACAGCTCTGGCCATGAGCCTGCACCTCAGTGTAAGGCTGGCAGCACCCAAACACTACAAGGTTTATTTCAGCTCCAAAGTATTGCAGCTCCACATCACAACAGACACAGCCTCCACTGCAATTAACCCTCCTATTCCCATCTATCTTCTCCAAAAAAAAAAAGTTTAAATCCAATCCAAATTATGTGTTACCCTGCAGACTTACTCCCTGTTCTCACTGCACAGCAGCTTCCCATGGCACAGATGATTGTGACTGCAGAGGTGTTTAGCAGTGGCTCAGTTCCAGCTCTGCCCACCCCAGCTGGCACAGGGCCACAGGCTGCAGAACCAGTGCAATATGTGCCTATCCAGAGCCCTGTGCTCAAATTCCAACAGATCATCACTTTTTGTAAATGAACTAAGGAGCTGAACCATAAGCTTCCAACACAAGCCAGCAAGAAGTTAAATCAATTCTTACATTTTACCAAAACTAGGAAGGGATACAAAAATAATTCTCAAGAAACCACCTGAGATATCACAGTGACTCTAAATTTCTATCTAACCTTGATTTAGAAAATTGAAGTTATCATAAGGGTAGATAACTATTGGTGCACATGATCAAACAATCAGCAGATGATGCCAGAACACACCGCTGTCCTGACATTTCCCTTTTAAATTCCCCCAACTCATGGTGTAAGCTCATTAAATGAGCTTTCAATTTACTGGTTTTTAAATTAAGAAACTCAAAATTTTGCAATTCAGGTCACTTTACATAAATAAGTAAGCACAAGCTGTGATATTCAGGTATTTGCCAAAATTTCGAAGAACTTATGCTGTAGTTGCTGACTGATTTTGTACAGGTGACCACTCAGTGAGTTCCCTTTGTGTCCTTACTCTTGCAAAGTTTGATTTATCTCTATTTCATCTATCATTGCCTTTCTCAAGATTACTTCACCTAGAAGTAAAAAATAGTGAATAATTAATTTGTCCCTTTTTCATAGTATGTTCAAGCATTGCTTTACCAGAAAAGAAAAAAATCAATTAACTGAATGGAGGAAAATCAGATTTCCATGAAAAAGGTACATCAAGCCACCTACTCAACATCAACTATATAAAAATTATATGACAGTACTTGAACCAAAGGGGAACTCTTTCACTCAGCAATTAAAGAGACAGCAAAATGGTTTGATCAAGGATTCAATTTCAAGAAAAAAATCTAGTGATGTAGCCCCTAGTGAAGCATAGGAAATTAATCACTTATTCCTCTTCAACTTCATTAAAAATCTCTTCTTTTGCTTCCACTTCAAAGCCTCCAGCTGAAAGCCTGATTTGTCCTGTTGGGTCCAGAGTGGGATGAACTCTCTAAATCTCAGCTATCACCAGGAAGTGACAGGCTCCTGTGTGACACAAGTCCAGACACATAAAGGAATCCTCATGCTACTATCCCTTGCATAAAGTAAGGATGTGTGAACAAGCAGCCCTGAAATCCTGGATTCATTACCAGGTATGTATTTTAACCATATCACCTTACTCAAGTATGTGCATATATATTCCTACAGAAAAAATCTGGTTTTTAACTCCTTGTTAAAATGCATACATAAATGCATACATTGCATTCTGCTAGAAGTACTCTGGATAAGAGTTTTTCCTTCTCTTCTTTATCACCTCTAATATTTGGTATGTTTATAGGTTTTTTCCCCAACTCAATAATTCATGGGTAATTTCAACATATTATACATTTGTGACAAATTTCCTTAGAACACAGTTTGTCTGCTGCATTGAAGTACCGAATCATTAGGTTAAAACACAGCTCCAGGAAAGCTGAGAACTTACCCAATAGTTTAGAGGAAGGTCGTAATAATTTGCCCTACTCCACCTCTTTAAACAAAGATTCTGCAGTAGCCAGAAAACAAGATGCAAAGAAAATCCTACATGTTCTGCATTGATCCAATTGCAATGCTGTAAAGATAAGCAAAAAAGGGGTTTTTTTAAAAATTACTTACAAGTAAGGATTTATTTACCCCTCTGGCTTAACTGCTGGCAGTACCAGCAAGGCAATCCCATTACAGCTGGCAGTGACTGCGTGGTACAAACACCTCCTAAAGAAAAAGAAAAGAAACCAAAAGCCAGAACCCTTCAGGCTGGAAGGAGCTGCTGGAACCCAGCCTCCTGCTCAAAGCAGACCAGTGCTCCATTCAGAGCAGGTTGTCTTCACCAGCTGGGCCTGAAAACTGACTCAAGGGATGAAGATGCTTCCCTAGAAAATTAAAGCCTTCTTTACATATGGTCATTAGTAATGACATAGATCAGAGACCTCCCATAGCTCTAAGCCAGTGACAAATCTTAAATCGCTTTCTTTAAATACTTCTACAGCTAATGAACTTCAGAGCCACTGAATTACTCCAGTTTCCCAATGCATTCCAAGAGTTTTTAATAAAGCGCAAAAAGTATCCCCTATTATTGATGCTGAATACATTTTTAAGCAAGTTGTGCTCACAAATTACTACATCAATGCAGGCAGAGTAGGAGTGTCAGCTCTGAGGGCAACCAGTGTTGACTCGAAGAAAGCAGTTGGTTTTCTCCCAGCCTGGGACAAGGTGGAATAAATCAACTTGAATTTTATAGAAATAACCTATGTAGGTAACTTTGCACACTAGGTTTTAATATCAGCCATCACAACTGCTTTGCTGTCCCCTCGATCCAAGACACAGCACAAATAAATCAGTTCCCAGAGACAAACCCAAACAAGCAAACACATAAAAGCAAACTTACCTAAGTGATTTGGGTTACAAAATTTGTTTGGGGATTATGGCTCAAACTGACTTGCACCCAATCACTCTTTGCTTCACTCTCTACACACATTTCCAATGCTTCAAATAAGCTTCAGCATTTATTATATGAGTGTAAGATCATCTTGCATGAGGACCAGATTATTCCCTGCATCTGGTACATTTTTAATAGCATTAGCTGACAAAGCAACACATTTTTACAGGCTTACATAAATCCACACTTTAAGCTTTTTTTCTCTTCCTTTTCAAATAAAGCCCATGTCTGGTAAATGTTAATGAAAAAAAATGAAATTTCCCTAAGAAGAGGCAAATGCAGGCACAAGTCACCAATTCCCACATAGTCAAGCCCTGCCTCAGGTTCACACATTATCAAATGGATGACAATGAGCAAATAGGTACTAGCAGAGCAAACAATATTGTTACAAATTTCAGGACATGCTTGGCCTTTGCTTTAATGAAATAAAGCCACATGAACAAAGCACAGAAAGAACATCTCTACACACATCCACAGGGTCCAGTGTGAACAGAAAAACAGAAATTTGCACCTCAAGAGTGCTAAGAATACAAGGTAACCAGTCAGATAACCTGATGATGGGCTCAGCACAGCAAAATAGGAGCTAGAATTATTTTTAACAGAACTGATGGTAAAGAATTTCTCAAAGGATACTCTCACCAATTTGCTACTGTGTGAATTTTAAAAAAAAGCTTCTAAACTAATCCTGATTCTTTACTTTGTGATCTCTTTTGCAAGTCTGTATTAATTCTCAACACCAGGAATAAATCCACTGCAGGAAATCATATGACAAAAACACATGTTTTGGAAAAGGACTATGAAAATGAACCAAGTCAAACTGCTCAAGGTTTGCCTTGGCTTTAATGTCTTACATGAATGTCAGGTGTAGTAGAAAGGACCCATGTTTGAGCATTACAGTTATTTCCCTTTTCATAGCTCAACGAGCACAGGACTGACTTTATTAAAACATTGCAGGAGTCAGGAAGACAGGGAAAAGAAGAACACAACACAGAGCAAAATGAAAAGAGCAGCTGTACAGCAAGATTATTTTGAACTTCTGTCAGAGGAACACAAACCATCCCAGAAAGCTCCGTATGCTCAAACAGCACTGGAGCACTGCCATTAGGGTCACCATCCTGAAGGAAAACTGAAGTAGAAGTTTCAAGAAAAGAGGTAAGAACAGCCAGTGGTTTATTTGCCACACAGTATCTGGGTACCAACTGCTGGATTACACTTTACACCCTTTCCCAGCTCCCGGAATTGACAAGGTACAGTAACAATTTATGGCTCCCTCCAATTACCTTGCAGCAAATCTGACTCTTCCAGTCAGCTCCTTTCATAAAAAGATGAACCTTCCCTTGATACTTGTCCCTTAAAAGGTTCAGTATTCCACAAGAACACCCTGGTTCACATTTCCCTTTGCCTGAGCTCCTTGCTAGCAGAGAGGCTGTACGTCAGCTACGTGCTTGCTGTTATCCCACTCAAGGTTCCAGGTAAATCAGCTTAACATCATTCCCAGGCATTTCCCTTTGGTTATGTGACAGCCACAGCTTCAGTGACTCACAGAGTGGCTCGCATGTGGCACTATTTGGCCATCATCACTCTACATCTGTGCCTTTGCCACTCCAGCCTGGCTGAGAAGTCTTTCAGGGTGCAACAGAGGCTGTCATGTTGCTACGCAAGTTAATCAAGAACTTGTTCCAGAGCTGGACTTCATTACAGGGACATGATCCTGGGCATGCCAACAGTCTCACCCACTGGGGATGGGATATTCACCTACCAACTCCTGATTTAAGGTCTAATTATTCATCTAGTAGCCATACCTTAAATTTTTACAGGAAAAAAGCCACTGATAAGTAGTGGTCAAATGTCTAAAGGAAGTTCACCCTGTAATCTTGTACTAAGGTTTGAACTCTGAATGAAGCAACTCAGATGGTTTCCCCTGCCAATATTAAAATCAGACCAGATATTCCCATACGCCTTGTACTTTAAATCCCAGCAATGAAGAGGCTCAACATTACAGCTACACATTGTGACATCACCACAATGGGTTTAAATAGTCTTTTTTTCATGAGATTCTTGAACACGTCCAGGGATGGGGCATCCAGAGCTTCTCTGAGCCTCACCACCCCCACAGGAAAGAATATCTTCCTAATATCCAGTCTAAACTTCCTCTCTATAAATTTGAAACCATCCTCTCTTCTTCCCTCTTGTTTAATTTTTTACTCCATTATAGAAGTGTCTTCACCCTACCACAAGCTTCATGTCCATGTCAGCAAGAAAAAGAAGGGTATTTTTAAAAATGGTGTATACATTGAATGCTATTCTCATTCATACTGGTCAAGCTGAGGATAATGGAGGTCTCTTGAAATAAAATATAGTTTGTCCAGAGATCATTGTGGACTATTAAAGTAAACCATGCTCAGAAAGCATATAGATTTCCAATTATTTAGGCTTTTGCATATACACCTACAATGACAAGCATGAAGGGCACTGCAAAATAGGAAAGAATACCCTTGCAGCATACATTTAAATAAATCCAGTCATCCTCTGCTCTGCTATCCACATTAAAGCAAACATATTTTTACAAAATTAGAGGTAGTATTTGAGTTTTTTAGAACAAAATAACATTGCTTAGAGATGGCAGCATTTGTCGAGCACTTAGGAAGCCACAAGACTAAGACAGAAAAGTATATTTGCCATTTATTTCTATTTATGTCACATTTTTATCTTACAGTGTGTAAATACAAATTCAGAAAATGTTAATGACTTTAAAAAAAGGTCAGAATTTACTCACTAGTTTATACTCAGGGAGGAAAACATAGGGCTCTTAGAGCTGGTAATATTGGTATATAGTAATATGAAAATACAGCCAACTGCATTTCCTTACCCTGTGCTGAGGATGGATATTTTTGTTGTGACAAGTAGTGTACATAAAAAATATTTACCTGCCAGAGGTACTTTAGTATTAGAGTACACTAAAAAAACAAAACACTAAGGAATGTGACTGTATTTTACTGTTCTGCACATCTGTAATGGTTAATGTTTCTAAGCAGTTCCTGGAAAAATAATCAAAGCTGAAGAATGAAGGGAAAAGCAGCTGATAAATGAAACTAAGCATCTTGTCAAGAAAGATAAAAATGTGGTTAGAGGTCAGTGAAGGACAAAGGGAGGGAGAGTGGAAGAATTCTAGAATATTTCTGGTTGGGCTTCCCTAGAAGGCTAAGGCAGAGAGCTGCCAGCAACAAAAATGCTGTCTCTCAAGGAGCAGGGGAAATGAGCACTGACAGGATGTCAGGATCACAACAGGACAGGTGCTTCGTACAAGTTAAATCCAACTCCTGGACAAGGGAACAGCAAAGCAAGTGCTCCCCCCACTCTGCTCCAAATAGCCCAGCAGCAGAGGAATTGGAGGAATACTCTGTGGCTGGGAGACATGAAGGGAAAGTGCCGGTGTCTCTCCCTCCCATCCAAAACCAAAAGCTGGGCTGCAACTGAGAGGGGCATTTGGAAAGCTACAAAGCCATGAGGGAGTGTTTAGGGCAGAAAGGGGTGGCAGTGCCATCAGGCACACACAGGGAGCACAGGAACGAGTCACCAATGGAAAGTGCCAAAAGAATGGCAGCAGGAGAGCAGCAAGGGTTGGGAAAGAGCCCCATGTTTCAAAAGGCACCCTGCAAATCCAGCAAAAAATCACAGAATGCTCTGGGTTGGAAGGGACCTAAAGACCATCTTATCCCAACCCCCTGCCACAGGCAAGGACACTGCCACCAGCCCAGGCTGCTGATCAAGGCTGATAAGGAGCTTTACAATGAGTTACAAACAGAAGACCAGCAACTCCTCATAGACCCAAACTCCCTTCTGTCTTGCCAAGGGTTTAAGTAAAACCAAATCCACCATCGGAGAACATTTTAAATTGTAATTTCTGGCTGCTGTGAAGAGCCCAGCTCTCACCCCCTACCTAAGAAAGGCGAGCCTCTTCCCCTAATTCTGCCACAGAAAAAATGACCAACCTATGGTACACAGAATTTGCCAAAAGCAAACTCACACCCAGCTCTCCTCCTGTAGCACACACCATCTCCTAAAGGTATGTGCCTCTTATCTTCCAGCCTTGCCCTCATGGACTGCAAGTTCCTGTGATTCACTAAAACCACAAGGGAGGCAAGCAGCAAGCCTAAAGTAGAATATTATCTTAATTCTTGTGTTCTGAGATCGGACTGGGTTTTCTTACAGCTGATCACACTCACTACATCAAAAGCCATCTAAAGACAGTTCTCTGTGGTCTCACACAGGACAGCTTCACCCCAAGCAGCACTGCTGTGGTCTGTATCAAGCTGGTCTCTTTCTGGTCTGTTCCTGGGAAATAAGGGAACAGCAGGGTACCCGACTGGTTATGACACCTTTGTACGTTTCATTTTGTTTTGCTCCCCTCTTCCATTCTTTGAAAAGTCCAAAGACTTTCAATTTATGGTATATTTCAGTTTGAAACAAAGACTAAGTTCACAGGACATGAGGGAAGCAGGTAAACTGCTAAGCAAATATATGAAGTGCAGTGAAAGAACACGGGTAGTAAAAAAGGACATTCGATTTCTATTCAGAGTATTTCATAAATTCTTATTAATTTAGTCATTTCCTGCCAGAACTTGTTCACTAGAATGAGTTCTGACAAAAGATTCTGCTGCATTCTACCAACTCCTTAAAAAAAAAAAAAAAAATCTATGTTCCCTTGTATGCTAAATAGCCTTTGTTATCACTTTGGAGTATCAGGTTACCAATTTCAATCTCATTAGCTGCATGAAAACACTGCATTGTATTCAGTGTGACTAAGTCCTGTGCTCCTCTCTGCTACTTCCACTGCTCAAAAAACAGCCTCCAACTTGGCTTATTTGAAGTTTCTGTCCTTGTCCCCAATGAAAACAGTACAAATGCTTGGATCGACTTGGGGGCAGGGATGAAGCCCAGGGCAAACCAACCAAAAAAACACCACAATTGCTTCCTGGTGGCCAAGGACAAGGGCATTCAACCACTGCCATATGTTTCGCTCTGGATGGGACGTACAACTGCTAGTTAATATTGCCAGACACACTGCTGCAATGGCACACTTAAGCATTTGCTCTCTTGATTCCCAATTTCAACTTCTAAATATTATCAACTGTGGCATCTTCCGACTTTCTTCTCCAGGAAGACTCTGACATGTGCAGCCACTGATGAGTTCCTTTTAACTTTCCCTCATATGTCACTTAGAAGAGGGAGAAGAAAGACAAGGACATACACAGGTTTTACAAGTGTTTAAGTGCCTAAAAATGGTGCAATTTAATAAGGAACTGGGGGATTTACATCAATGAGTGTTCTCTTCTGTTTCCAAGGATTTCTTTATAAATTTCACTTAATGCCACACTAGTTAGAATGAACATTTGTATCAATCTACTGGATAATTGCTATTAATTCACTACTAGTCAAGATACATGCCGCTTTTATATGGCTTCAAGCTTAGTATTTAAGAAACACAGACTGACAAGCAAACACCTACGTTTCAGAAAGCAACAAGTTACGCTCTGTTCTCAATAATCCCATTTAACTCAGAAGGAGATAATCACCATCAGCACGGGCATGGCAGGAAGGAGTGGAAGGGCGAGGAGAGAACGCAGATCAAATCTGTAGAAGATTTGCCCTGTGACAAGAACAGCAGACCCTTCAACCCCTAAAGCCACACTGTCTCCCCACTTCAGCACAGACACAAAACATCTGGCTGCCCAGAATTGCAATGAACAGGGTCTATGCCTTTATTAATAATCAGCTCTTTATTAAAAAGTCAGCTCGGCAGGGGGCTCAACAAGGAGCTCGCCCCCGCTGTTGTAGCTTCTCCGGTAGCCGAAGGGTGAGCAGGCGTGCAGAGTCTGTCCCTGGAGTCCCTGTGGCACGCTGGTAGCTGGAGGTGAAGAGGTGTGCAGTCCATATCTGAAGTCCCAGCAGACCATCCTCTCCTTTCCTCCTAGCACACTGGTAGCCGCAGGGTGAAGGGATGTGCAGAGACTGCTGCTGAAGACCAGCAGCAGACATCCCTCTCTTTCCCTCCTGGTGACCCCAGGAAGTGTGTGTTCCTTTCTGCCTGCTTCCCACAGCCCAGTCCACTCTGGTCCTCTGTAGGTTATGGTGACAGGTCAAACACAGACTAGGGATGGGGTTCCCTTTTCCCCAACGTGCACACCCATCCAGCCCCCTCCACTGTGCCCATCTTTTCCATTTAGGGGTGTTTTTCATCCCCAAAACCCCCTCCCATGATTCCACTGGATTATTTTGCATCCCAGTCCTAGAATGGTACTGGGGGGGGCGGGGGTAGGTGATTCCCAGGAGCAATTAGCCAATTAACATTTCAATGTCAGTACTTAGTTCCAGCCAAGTGTCCCAGCCAGGCTGTTTCCTTCATAACAGAATTACAGCCTCTCTTTATCCATGCTCACAAAACTGCTGACTGAGAGTAAAACCCAAAGTTTCCAAAGGTTCTTCTGGAAACTCCAAACTCCTTTCAAACAACAGCTTAGAAACATTGACAAACACTTCAGGAGTCCAAAAATATTTTAGCAAAATACTTCCAGTTCACTTGAAGCAAAAGGAAGTTCCTTTGAAGCTCTGAAGATTCCTGGGAAGAACACAATACAAAGAAAGCACGGGGAGCCTGGCCAGTTTAAAACTGGACAATGCAGAGGCACAGTGAGGTACAGGCTGGAAACACGTCAGGTACTGTTGCAGTAAGGGAAGGAAAACTCAAGGTTACACCGAGTACAGCTTTCAAATCAAGTAAATAAACTCAAACTACAACATCAAGCCTGGAGCAAGGGCAGAAGCTGGAAGTCAGTTGCATTACACATTTCTAGAAGTTTCCCTCCCCTTTCCGCTTAAAGGGGTTGTAAGGCATTAAAATCCGATGTCTCAAAATACCATGAAACCATCACGACTGCCAACGTGGGGAAAAAGAACTCTCCTTTCAAAGGCATAGATGTCACATCATACTACCAAGGAAGGAGCAATACCACAGCAGAGGACAACATTCAAGCTCACCTTTAAAGCTGTAATGCCTGCTTGCAGGTGAAAAACAAATCCTGGAGTGCCTTACAACTTCTCCAAGCTCAAATATCCTCTTAGTGCATCTGCACTTTCCAGAGCATTTTCCATTGGCAAAGAAGGTTAAACCCTCTTAGCTGAAACACACATTGCTCTATCTATAGTGCTCATTCCAATCCTCAAAATTAATGTCAGACCCACACAGAAAAACTTCAGGGATCTTCACAGGTTATCCACAGATTACTTGTAGCCTCTGTGCTAATATTTCCTCCGAGTTCTACTATCTGGGACCACATGGAACACACCATCATATGAAGATTCAGTTAGCA